GGATGCAAAACCACATGTTTCCTTGGGGAACTGCGGTCTAATCACCTCCATCCACATTGTGGGTTTGTTTCTGGATTACCAGCTCCTGGAGATAAACTGTTTCTCCCCTCCACCCTCGGATCTGCTGTAGTGATGACAGAGGTGGATGTTTCTGCAGACTGTGACCCCAGCCGACCACAGGGGCGCACAGAGGACAAAGAGAACCAGGAGAACAGGACTTTACTGATGGTGGCAATGATTTTATTGGACTTGAACAAATGCAACCCTAACGCCATCATCAGCCCCGGAGACAGCAGATGTCTCGTGGTGAGCAGCGAGGTGGAGGACAAGGTGGAGTGGGGGGGCCGCAGACTGAACGCTGGAGACAGCCGGGTTACACCCAAACAGTCCCGGATCAAGAAGAAGGTGGTGAAGGAGAGAAAGGAGTGTCCGGAGAAGAGACACTACTGCCCCTTCACCGGCTGCGGGAAGGTGTACGGGAAATCCTCCCACCTCAAAGCCCACCTCAGGGTGCATACCGGTGAGTGAGGGGCCATCATAACGTGTTGTTGACGACAGCAAAACAGCTCTGCGTCACTCACTTATAACATCATTTTTATTTCAGGTGCATGGTAAAGATCAGGGACAGAGCAGTCTGAACAATCTGCAATCACTGCAAGATGAATATGATGTCACTATAAGTCTTTACACATGATGTCTAACGTTAAAGAAGGCAGTCCATGTTGAGTCTGTGGGATGAGGAGAAAAGACCACATGTGCCTGCAAATGAATAACACGTTATAGGAAAGGTGGTCCCACGAATTTGGGGGGGTGTGTGACTGACTGATCGGCCCAGAGAGGGCGTGAGGCTGACTGTGAGGGGGAGGGAGGGAGGGAGGGAGGGAATGGTTGTGGCACTCAGAATATGGGAACACCGTGTGCCTCCTCCCATATTTGTTATGCACGCTAGATTGTTCAGGTATGATAATAAAGAAACATCCTGGACCCCAGTCACCATGATGTTATCAACATAATGTCCCGTAAGATCGTCTCTGTTCTGCACCGTGTGTTCTCCATCTTGTTTCTGTGTTTATTTGCATGTCCCTAACCCTCAGCTTTAGATCCACATGCAGGTCACTGCGACACTGTTGCCCCCTCATGTTCTTGTACGCACTCCGCAGATAACTCTGCACCAGCACTTCCTCATACGTCATCCGCCCCCCCTCCCCTTACGTCAGGTTGTAAACAAGGGCAGACATGTGGTTCAGTGGAGCACATGGAGGAGGATGTGGGAGCAGCCATCGTTTTTTTCCGTTTCTATTGGCTCTTATCATGACTCACCATTTCCAAATCAATATGTTCTCTTATTGTTCCAAGAAATGTTGTTGAGTCAGGCCTCCCCAAGAAATGGAGAGAACTAAACCTCCTTCTCAAACTTGATTTGAGTACTCGGTGTTCTTTTTATGTATTGCCTGCCCTCCCTCTTTCAATGGCTAATATTTAAAGGAAATAATAAAACTACCAGTTTGATTAAAAGCTCAACTGTTCCCTGATAAAAGTTATTTTTGGGGTTCCTGGTGACTTAGAACTGATGACATAATTAGTGGTGTTTTTTATTTAGATTTGTTTTGAATAAAATATGCATTTCTTAAATGTGGGCCGGTTGTCTATGTGGTTAAAATATGGCATATAAATGAAACCATTATTAATAATACTTATTATTAATAACATATCATATTAATATATTATATAATAAAGGAATAATTAATATTATTATTATTGTCATTATATGATAGAAAGTAATTATTATAGGGTTATTATTATTATCCTTATTGTTGTTATTATCCTTATTATAATTGATTATATATTCATTGCATTTTTTGTCCTTGGGTTCTCCAAATATGAGGAAATAAATATCAGCAAAACACAGTAGTTTATGTTAGATTTTTGTCCTCAGGTGAGCGCCCCTTCGAGTGCACCTGGCCTGACTGCGGGAAGAAGTTCTCCCGCTCAGACGAGCTGACGCGTCACTACCGCACACACACGGGCGAGAAGCGCTTCAACTGCCCCATGTGTGCCAAGTGCTTCATCCGCAGCGACCACCTGACCAAACACGCCCGGCGGCACGCAGGCTTCCATCCCAGCATGCTTCAGGGCTCCAGCGCGGCCAAGAGGCGCCGCTGCTCCCTGTCCCTGTCCTCGTCTGACTCTGGAGACCAAAGCCCTGTGGAGGTGTGAGACCCTCCCTCCTGATGCACACACACACACACACACACACACACACACACACACACACACACACACACACACACACACACACACACACACACACACACACACACACACACACACACACATCAAGGTACAGGCAGGAGAGAGAGAGCAGACACAATGTGTGCTGTTTGCACCGTACACTAATCCCGTCCAATCAACTCCACCAGCCAGACCACTCTGTAAAACCTTTTCTCTATGCATGTAACATTGTGCAACAGCAAACAGAAATATAAGTTATGTATTCAAACTCGACCCCTGTTACTTCCTGAGATAATTGGTATTTATTAGTCGGGGTCAATTTCTATTTGCTTTGCCATTTATTATCATTACTATGTGTTATTTGTGTTCCTTTGTTGGAAGAATCTGTAATCTATTAGGCATTCATGTGTGTATATATAGTTCCCATTAACACTACATGTGTTTCCTTGCATCACAAACTTCATTTACAGAAAGACAACAAATCATTACTGAGATATTCAAGTGCGTTTAGAAGTTTTGGGGATTTTCCTTTAGTAAATATGATTTTTATTTTTACATACACACTCATACTTGTACAGTAACTCGAGTCCAGGACCAGGTGAATGTACAGTACAGCAGTATTGTCATGTACATTTATAAAACAGATACACTTTTAGATGGAGGATGTACTCAGTATACTGTAGTTTAGTGAGGTTAGAGAAGTCAAATCTATTATATAGAGAATTACAGAGTTTTTTGTATTTTATAATGATATATATATTGGGCTAGTTTGCTTGTACAGTTTCCTGTGTTGTGCGTCACATCGTGATTAAGTTACTAATAATTAACCTTTACACATAGGCAAGCCTTGTGGGGAAATACATTGAAAATATTTGCAATGCTTTTCCAGGCTTGAATGTTAATAGTGCAGGGATAAACACAACAGGGTTGAACCTTTTTAAAAGGGAAAGTTATATAAAGATACATATTTAGTTTTTAAAAAAGAGGTCTGTGCCTTTTTCAACGTTTTGTTTTTTTTAGCAGAGAGGAATTTCTACACTGTGGAAAATCTTCATATTCTATAGATTGATATTCAAAAATACTTTGAATATCAATGACTGTCTGTAATGCCAACAGTGCCAGTTGCTGATCATTTAACTACCTTTTGCTTACTCTGTATCTGGACTGCATTTCATCAGGGAACAATGTGAGGCCATTCCTGTCAACATTACCCCCCCTGGTGGAGACATGGAAGCACAACATTTCTCACAAACGGAAATTTTTATTTATATTTTACATCCTCGCATTTTGAGGCAAGCTCTTTTTATTAGTTTGTGAATTCCACCATGTAGCATGATTGTATGTATTTCTTTGGTTCAATGATTTTTGTATTTGTTTGGTAATCTTTTATAATGTAACTAATAGGGTGAAAGACCCTTTTCGTCCACTACTGGAGCTACAAACATTGTTGATGTCAAGTTTTCTTTATATAAATGCCACGTAAAAGCATAAACACGTCCAGATAAAGTTACGTATAGTTAAGCTTGTAGGATGTATTTATACTATGCTGTTTTTTATTTTCATGGCATTATGACAACTGTGATTAGATGTTGGTGCCTTTCAGGTCGAAGCCTTTACTTCTGATGCTACTGTACTGTAATCAGGTCTGTCCCCACAGAGCCGTGTTATCGCAATATTCATAGCTGTGTAATAATTACTGCTCAAAGGTTTTAACATTAAAATGATTTTTCTTTCTAAACAGTTGCTCATTTGTTCTGTTCCAAAACACACACTGTACTTCACAGCTTTTATAAATACAGTATAGGCTCTTCTTTATTGCTGTGTAAACAGGTGGGACAAGTAAAAGTCCTGCACTCACAATGTTACTCAAGTGAAAGTACAATTAACATCAAAATATATATTTAAAGTACCCATTTCAGAATAATATATATTATATGTTGGATTACAATTATGGATGCATTAAAGTGTTCTCACAGCTGGTAAAGGTGCAGCTAGTTTTAATGTCTTTGTATACTGCAGTGTAGTTTGTGAATTGACTCCAGGTGTAAGTAAAGTCTGATTTAAGTGTTGATTATATTTCTAATTATTAATCAAAAGCTGCAAAGTAACTCAAGGTATTTAGTAAATATAGTGGAGTAAAAGTACATTATTGACCTCTGAATTGTAATGGAGTAGAAGTACAAAGTAGCAAAATATTCTACTTCTACAAGTCCCTCCAAATTGTACTTAAGTAATGAGTAAATCTACTTAGTTACTTTACACCACTGTGTTAATAAGGTGATACAAAGAAAGAGTAAGGTAGAACAGATAGTACTCCATTAGCTTTGTGTTTATTTATTCTTTTCATACATCGCACATAACAATAACATTGTTAAATACTGTAATGGTAGTGTTTACATTACAAGAAAAATTGAAAGAATTAATCCAAAGAAAAACATCATTAAGAAAAACTTCATAAACAGCAAATGCTCTTCAAACAAACAAAAGGATAAAGTGGCAATTAATACACAAGTCTTTTAAACTTCTCGGTACTTAAGGCAAACTCTAATGGCAAATGATCAATTTAGGAGGCAGGGAGAGAGTCATACATGAAGAACATTACTGCTCCAACTCAATGTTGCAATTCAAAAACGATTTCCAATCCATTAGTCAAAGGAGACACAGATGCCATCTCACTCACTGGACGTTTCTCAATGTCGAGTATACCTGCTGCAGAGCCACTATTCCAAGTATACTACGTCATCGAGTGGCGCCGAAGGACTGTTTAAATGCATGCCCAGCATTCGGCGCCACTCGATGACGTAGTATACTTGAAATAGTGGCTCGATATTGAGAAACGGACACTATGTTGGCATTGTATGTCAGTATACATGCATATGTCTGTGTGCTCTCTTTAAAATCCTTTATTTATCAAACAGATATGGGGAAAAGTGTCCAGTGATGGAGAATATATATACTATGGGGTGTACAGCAGTGTTTAAGGAAAAATCTATCTTAAGGTCACCCCACGTTCCTTTGGCCTTGATAACATGTGTATCATGTGTTAGAGGGTCGTGCAGCGATATGTAATCTTTCCCTTTTGACACAGTTCATTTCAGATAAGACACTGTCACTGCTATGCAGGGAAGAGAACACAGATGTGAGCCCAACAAAAGAAAAAATGTGCAAATTCAAACAATACCAGTCAAGAGGTTGCACAATCAAAATAGGGCAGAAATGAAATGTGCAACCAGCTACTTCCTTTTTATTTTCAACTTATGTATCAGTCCAGTGCTCTTCATGCAATTAGTTCCTAAGCCATTCATGTTCACAGGTTCATCTCTAAACTCTGCCTTAAACATATCCAGCCAATAAGTGTTGAGGGTGAGTGAATGAGTGCAACCTGTGCTACATAACAACCCCGTACAGTACAATGAATATGGTACCAGATATCCGCTACTCCACACCTCTAAAACATCTCCATGTCAGCACATACAATCAAAAGTATCATCAGTCTTAAAAAAAGGAAAGCATTAAATAAAAACAAAATTAAAAAAACTAGAAAAATGCAACCCAGAAAGAAACCGTTGAGTCATCAGTTATGATGTTTGTTATTCTTCAGGGAAATGGATTTCTCTTTATAGCATCAATTGACCTTCTGTCCACTAATATTAGTGTGTTACATCATGTTCACCAGGAGAAGGGCTCTCGAACACGTCCTACCATAGGAGGAAACCACCACTTCTACTTAAATACATTGAATATTTTCAACTGTCTTCCTTCTCCTATATGTTAAACCAAATACTCTATATGTTAATCGGATTACTCCTCATTGTCATCATAGCACTTAACTGTCATTAAAATACTCTACCAATACTTCACTGTCACCACTGTGTAGGCGAAGTAAACTCACAGCAGATGAAGATTGGGGGTTATATTGTGTGAAAGGGGGACGGGGGGGGGCAGAAGGTCAGAGGGGCGGGGTTACTGTATTTGACAGGTGGTGGAGGAGGTGGCCTGGCAGCACATGCAGGTGGGGTTGACTGATTTAGGCGGGATCAGATCCAGGTCCTCGTCGTCGGGGATCTCGTCTAGGCGGTAACCATCTTTCAGCAGCTGGATGTTCAGATCCTGATTGATTTGCTGGAGAAGAGACGATAAAGAGAGGAGATTGATTTTTTTCAGTCATCCACACCAATCAGAAGTGCTGTGCTCCACATGTACCAGCCATTGTTAACCAATCAGAAGTGGCCCATGATAGTAGGTGATAGACAGATTGATCCAATCACCTGCCAAGTATTTTTGAAATACTTTTCCAAATGGCTTCCAATGGAGCTTTCCTAGATGGTTTGGTGACACAAACCATCTGAGTCAGGTTAGTAATGCTCCATCACATATTTCTATTACAGGGTGAATCTTAAACTGAAGCTTGGCTTTAAAGCAACCCAACGGAAGTTTCATGTAAGTTTAGTTCTTTCACTCGTAGCTCGGGCTGTGGGGGTGCTAGAGACGCGAGCACGTTGATACGACCTTCCTAGCCGGAGATATGGCCGCATTTTACAATAAACTTCCGTTGGCTCAATGAGCCAATATTCGCGATTCGAGATTTTGTTTTTAAGCGACCCAACGGTAAAAACAAAATCGCAAATCGAATCGCAATATCTGTCAGAAAAATCGCAATCAGATTATTTCCCCAAATCGTGCAGCCCTAGTCTAGAGTCCCAAACCTAGTAGTTCCTGTTATAAACAGCTAGCTAACTAGCTAAAAACAAATGAAACTTTGTGAAACACAGTTTGACATTTGGGGAATATAAAACTGATCACCTCCTGGCAGAGCATTAGATGAGATGATTGATACTAATTTCATGTTTGTAGCATATGCTAAATATGAAGCTACAGGTAGCTGCTAGCTAGCTTAGCTTTGCACAAAGACTAGCCTTGCTGTATCCAAAGTTGACGAAACTATCTAACAACACCTGTCTCACTTATTTACACGTTATATATTGTTTGTTTAATCCATAAAAGACAGAGGGGTGTATGAAAAACAATTCATCTTTTTACAGACTTCAAATCTCATGGCTTGTTTTCAAGCTTGTGACTGAGAGTGAGTAACATTTACAGTGGTAACCATGGAAAACTGAGTTAGTTAGGGCACGATCACAGATGGCTGTAATGATCATCACTTGGAGCTTTGTCATGAATGTGATGACTACTGTCCTGCTGTGATTTTGTAAATGGAAAACAATGCCTTTGTTTGCTGGAAAAACAGAAGAAATGTCTTAATTTGATTTCCAATATTCAACTTTTCATGTAATAACTGTCTAGTCTACTGTTGATAATCCAGTCAACTGTAACTTAAATAACAACCGCAATGCCCTTCTTTGTTAGCTTTAGTACGTACAGTCATGCTTGGCACAGTTTATTGCTTGCGCTTACAACTTATTGTTGTTAGCTAGAACTTAGAAAGAGGGTACAATTACTAAATTGGGGTTGTAACATTAGCTATTTCTCTGATGACATGGTGGCATTAAAATCTGAACCCTTGTTGGCTTGAATACAATATAACAATAAGCTTGGTCATGTCAAAGACAGAGAAATGATGGAAACTAGGATTCCTCTGGGGAATACATGATACCTGTGATTTGCATTTAAATTGGCAGCAGCGGTGAAAATATGATGTTAGGAGAAACACCCAGAGAGGACATTACATTTATTTCCAGCATTGTGTTTCACGCAATGTAATAACACTCTTGTAGCTAGACAGAATTATCATGGATGAGCAGGAAGGATATAAATGGGTTTTTGTTGAGACTGACGCATAAAAGCCGGGCTCTCTGGCCTCTTGACATTTATGGGAAATGGAGTGAAAAAGGCGAGGAGAGGGGGCTGAATGAGAGAGCAAATGTGAGGCAAAGAAGGCGAGGTTTGCTCGATCAGATATCTCACCTCAGCAGAGGAGTATCCTGACGATGAGTATCTAGACATGTCAAAATCATCATCACTGAAACAAACAAATAAACACAGGTTAGCTTATCAAGTCTGTGGTTAATGTGTTTAAGTGGCAAGAAGTGCATTCATCACAATCTGTTTCTTTGCCAAGTCCGTTTCACGCCCAATGAATTTGCTTTTGTGAGCTGGTTAATTAAATAAACATAGACATTATAAATAAAAGCACATTCAACAAACCAGGAGGAAATGTAGAATACATGTTTTTACAATAAACAAATACTACAACAAATCTGTAATAATAGAAAACAATTATACACATGTAAAAAAGTACAATAAACATATGTACAGTATAGCAATTAAAATGAAGGGGTTGTTCCATGTATGTGTGTTTTTGTTTGCATGTGTGTGTGTGTGTGTGTGTTTACCTGTCTGTGTCTATGGCCACCAAGGGCTTCTCATCTGGGCTCTGGTCTAAAGAGGAGTAGCCTTTGTTAGGCACTACCAACCTGCAGAGAGGGAACAGAGAGAGAAAGAGAAGAAGTAAAAGGGTGTAACAGAGTACGAGAGGAAGAACGGAGGAACAGATGGAGGAGGGAAAATAGATCCCCTAACAGGAAGAAGTGAGTAAGACTGGCAGAGCTGCTTAAATAAAAGAAAGGATTGCCTGGAGGCGACCTCGCGGCTAAACTACAGGAACAAGTGAAGCATGAAAGACGTCTCATTTGTAACTCGAACATCTTACAAACCCTGAATCAATAAGACTATACTCGTGCGAGCCTCACGGGCAGACAGAAATAATGGACATGAGGATGACATCCCTCTTGTCAAACCACGCCACGCCACAACATGTTCCTGATGGACAGGTGTAGACAGAAAATCCAATTATCCTGAGCTAATTTACTGAATAAACCAACTCACATCTCCTGTCTTTTTTTTCACCCAACTCATTAGACTATTCTTCTGCTGGCGTTTCATTGTTGTTTTCTGTCAAATTCAATACTGTAGTTCAAAACCGCGGTACCTGCTCACCATCTGTGAGCTATTTTTAGAATGCTACGTTCGTTGTCGCGTTCGCGCGCGTCCATCTGGGCAGGCTGTGTGTGTCCTTCTCCCGTGACGATAACGGCTTACGTTTAAAAAATAATAATAAACAAATTTGAAACTGGGGGGGGGGGGGGACACAAACGGGCAGACAGCAGAGCTCGGGGCAATAATGCAGATTTGTTTGACTTTTTTACACTTTGTTGTTCTCCTCCTTTCCTCCGCTCTTGTCTCTGATTGTGAGTGTGTGCATTCATGTGTGTGTGTGTGGGGGAGCGGAGCCCCGCTCTTCAGAAACAGAGCGGAGGGAGAATGTGAATACGCAAAGCAGTGGACACTGAAACATGCACATACAGAGCCGGCCCGACCCACTAAGCGACCGCTTAGCCCCCCCTTTAAAAAAAAAAAAAAAGAAGAAACCCCGGTACACCGTCGGCATGATAAGTATGTTTAACTAATTGTGTTAATATGCCTAGATTGCCTACTCTCAAAGTCATGTATTATATTATTGAGTCAATAATATAATACATTAACCGTGCTTTACCTGAACCTCATCATGACACTAGAGAGGACGGCAGGAATGTAATTTCCCGTGTTCAGTGAATGCAACAGAGGCAAGACACCAGACCAACCAGAGAGTTGAATGGAAATAAACATCTGTCTTATTGGCTGACAGGTACCTATCCTGTGAGCTGTGACAATGTTTAAAATAAACTGTCAGTCGGACTCAGAGTTTTGGAAATGGACATAAGAAAAACATTTCTTAAAAAAGACGACAATTCATGGTGGCTCACACAACAACCCCAGAGCCACCACTTGAGCCAGGTAAACAAGGTACTGTATGTAAATGTCAGTAAACTTCCAAGTTATGCGAACATGTAAGCAAAGCATAAATTACAGCTACGTTGACGTTACTTTGAATCGCGGGGGTAAGCTAAACCGTTAGCAAGTAGCTATAGCTAGCCAGATATATTAAATAAACACTTTGTCATACAATCTAAATGTAATGTTTGTTAGCGTTACCTGGTGATTTCAAAGAAAGCTCTCAGGGAAATGTTGACTTACTGTTTGACATGAAGCTAGAAGCTACCTTACAGTACACAGTTGATCCGGAGTCCTGTCAGTTAAAGTGTTTCATGTTTTTAGCACTGAAATATATGGATGTTATGTGACAGTATTTCTGAGAAAAAGTCAGCTGAAATGGTGGCATAGTTGCCACTGCTTTACGTGTCAACAGCATGTTTGAACGTATTTGCAGCAGTAAATGTGGCTGTTTGGCCACTGACGTTGCCATAACAACACCTGAATTTAAATGTGCAACCTCTTTTTGTGACAGATTTTTGCAAGAAATTATAATTCTCCGGAATGATATTCCTATTGACAGCTAGTTCCTAAGTGAACATTATGAGATGGACAGCCAGAGAGAATAAATGAAAAACAGTTATGAAATACTATATGACAAAACAAGAATACAGTTGAAGTGATTTGTAAAATATCTATAAAGAAAAATCTGCTTACAGTTCTGTTTCATATGGGTGTTGAGAGAGGTATCAATAGATCTCTTAATGTTGCTCTCAAAGTGCACCAGATTGATGCTTTTAACTTCAATATTTAAAAAAAAATCTTCCTGGGGGAGGATGCCCCCGGACCCCCCTAGAGGAGGTGAGGTCCACGGTGTTTACATGCTTATTTATACAATGTGTGCTTATGCTAACATCATAAGACAAAAGTTGGTTCCGTGTTGTGTGTAGCGCTAGAGTGAGGAGGGCCCCCAAGCCAAAGCTCGTTTAGGGCACCCAAAAGTCTAGGGCCGGCCCTGTGCACATACATTGGATAAATAACATAGGCGTTTAGTTCATTTAATAAAAGAGCACATGTTCAATGTGAAAAGTGACCGTAGATAGATTACTTCAGTTGCAATTTGGTACTATATATATATATTTTTTTTTTAAATAAAAAACAAAACAAAAAACACCTTGAATTTCAGGCGGGGTGCGAGGCTCCGTTGGCAGGGCGCAGCGCCCCGCCAAGACAATGGTAAGGGAAACACTGCATGTGTTCCTGATGTTACACATGTGTAGCACTGGGGACATGTCTGCACCACTTTGTGAAATGGTTGATTTTGTCCCTCTTACTTTTTCAAAATTCATTTAGGATTTGTTTGTATATTAAGGACTTAAGAAAGGTATATTTGCACAATATGAGAATATAAAATGCTATGTAAATATAGAATAAAAGAAGGTACATTGTCATCAACGAAAAATAATATCCCCTCCGAGCTTACTTATTATAAAATAACCAAGAAACCTGCATGTGTTCGTCAGTAATGCCAAACATATCTTGACGTAGTTTCTTGATTTTTTACAATTTTGATACTTATCAAAACAAATTTCAATACAAAGTGACACCCTTGTACAAAATACTTGATGAGGTAAGCCAAATAGAATAATGGACATTTGCAGTTGCTCAAAATACGTCATTTAATACTGTACAGAATGTGTACACTTACATCTAGTACAGATCTGGGCTGTATTTAAGTGCTACAGCACACTAAGGACTTAAATTGAGTTCATCACTTTACCTAAAGACATTTTAATGACCGTAATCGCTCAAGAAGACACCAGCCAGCCTGTCATTTCCTCTGCTAAACCGACACCCCATCGCTCACTTCTTACCGTGTGCGAGCCATGACGTTGTTCTTCTTCGGCTGCTGGTTCACGGGACTTCCTACAGCCGTGCCGTTCTTCAATGAGCCCTTCCTAGCCAGATCTCTCTGTTTCTCTGCACAAGGAACACACACACATTCATCATTTCTCAACTTTCTGTTGCATTACATTCTGTTGCACTGCAAACTTTGGAGAGTTCTCTTCAGATTGTCACATTTACTAAAGAGGAGGCCCAGGTTTGACCCAGTTTAATGATACTAAAGTCCATCCGGAAGTGTGATGATACGTCAAGGGAACAAGGTTGAGCTTTGACTTTCATGTCTTTTATTTCTACAGATGATAAGATCAACTGGCTTTGCAGCACAGTAGCATCAGGCCATTTCACTTTCTGTTTGTAGGAGTAATCGTTGCCGTTGGGGCTGAGAGTTTGTTTAAGTTAGGTCATAAATGATGATACAAAAGCCACAAGGAATAAGACAATACATTCAGAAACAACATGCTTATGCCTCCTTTTTTAACTTCTTTGATTCTCACAGTTGAGAGATAACTAAACCAATACTAGAAGTCTAGTCTGAGCCATCGGTGAACATTAGTGATGTGTCGGTCGCGAACGAGACGTTTTTTTTGCAAAGTAATACAAGACAGAATGATATGATGATCTCCGCGCTATAGCTGCTCCGTGCATGCATGCAGTGACATGTAATATCCAAGGATTAGAGACGGTTGGATGCTGCTGTTTTGAGCATTGCAATATATTTATTTTCACTATGGTATTTATTTATGATTATCCTTAGGCTCAGCAAATATTTGATGTCAGCTGTTGCTGTCTTTTTTTCTATAGTTAATACTGAAATAGAGCCCTGCTGTTTTGTCAGGACTTTTTCTTTAAATATAATTTTAAAATGTCGATACAGTAGCCCCTTCTTTTAAATGTCTATGCTTAAGTTTTTATAGGTGTTGCTATCTGTTTTGTGTAGCGTGGTTCTACAAGCAAGTCAGTACATTCTTTGGGTGGTATCAGAGAGTTACACGGGTCTGTAAATGCAATGAAAACAATTAGCCACAGCAAATCATTTATATTCAACATGTAATTTTTACTTTTGAATACTTCAGTACAAAGGATGTATTAAATAATTTAAGTGATATATGTGTACACAAATTAATCATTAGTCAAAACAGGGCTACATTTGATTGAGTTATAAAAGGTATATGGGGTAAACTGAAGAGCCGTTTGGGAGCCGAAAGAGCCGGCTCTTCTTGGTGAGCCGAGCCAAATGATCCGGCTCACCAAGAATTCCCATCACTAGTGAACATATTAAAATACATTAGTGACACTATATAATATAACTTATTTCATTGTGTCACCATAATGGCAGTACATAATTCAGATTACAGCCTTTTACATCCGATGGTTAAACAAGCATGAATACTTCAGGAAATAGGTTCAGATTGTATTTGATCAACAGGAAATGTGTTGACAGTGTTTACATGTAATTAAAAGGTTGAACACCTGATGAGCAGAATAATATGAAATATAATGGTCTTACTTAAAACATATAGTATAGATGTAGAATACAACGACCCTTTCCATGCAATTCTTCCTGATGTACTTGTTTCTTTAAGTCTTTGGCTAAGAAAGTCCTACATAGGAGAACAATAAGAAAGAGGTGCTGCTGCTCACTGGACTCTGTCCAAGGTGCTGAAATGAGACTTTAAGGACTGGAGCTTTTCACAAGAGACTCAAACTCCCAAATGTAAAACAAAACCAGAGTGGCTAACAATGCTGCCATGGACATCAACCAATTAAATGGATTCAAGCTGCAACAATACGTTTATTAATTGGTAAGTCATTGTTTCAGTTACATTTGAAGCTAAAGGCCAAACCTTTACTTATTCTAGCTCCTGTGTGTGAAGAATAAGGTGTCAATTAAATACTTGTTGGGGTATGGGACTGTTGCTCAGAAGAGATATCTTTGCAGGGCAACACCTTAGGCTTTGGAAACGTGTGACAGTCTTCTCTGATATAGATATCCTTAAATGTACTTCTTAATTATATTTCAGCAGCATAACAAGGATGATTAAACAACACTCAATACCACACGGCCTTGCTATAGGAAAGTTCTCTTGAAATGTTTCTAGACTCTTCAGAGGCCATCACCAGAGGAAGTCAAATGTAACGCAATCTCTTTCTTGCCTGGAGATGATGACACATCTGGACATATGAGCAGGATAGTCTTTCCAGGACTTTAAATAAGCAGTTGATTACAGGATATGCAGATTCCCACAGGGACTCACTTGGCCTAAAAAATACCGTATAGCTCTTCCTCACCTATTTTCCTCTGCAGGGGAGAGGGCTTGTAGTTGATGGTGACAGGTTCCCCCTCTCGGGTGTCGGAGTCCGCCTCTGAAGCCGTGGACGAGGCCGGGTCCTGGAGACACAGAGATGAGCAGAAATGTGCATTAGGCATTAATGAATAATTAACACCTTTTTGTTATGCATAAAACAACCTACCATGTGAATGAAACAGTTCATAAATAGATAAAACATGTGTGGAAAAGCCCGTACAATGAATGTTTGGGGCATTGCATGGTCAGCTTGTTTCTAAAATATTACTTGCTAACACAATGTAAAAAGGGCAACCTATAGGTTTTGTCCAAGCTATGAAATGATGAAAACATCTAAAGTGAAAGCAAAAATATTGGGTGATTCTTGATTCGGTGAGGTTGCTCCAGGACCCTTTGGAGGACTCCTGGAAGTCCCTGGATGATTGGAAAACATTCCCAAAAATGCACACATGCTTTAAGGAAGGGAAAATACCTCGTATATCTCGCTATAATATGACGCACAAGAGATGAATGGATGTGTACAAACGCCTGGAGACATGAGGTCAGAATACCTCGGGTCTAGTCTGGCTCTCTAGCGGCAGAAGAGGCCGCCCAGCAGGCTGGAGTAACCCAGGGCCCCGCCAGGCCACGGAGCGCACCGCTAAATCACATACACTGATTTATTGTAACAATTAATTGTGCTCTGACGGTACATACAAGCACATAGGCCTACTTGAGATTAAACGCCGCTCACTAATCACGGCAAGGCAACACAAGTGGCGTTTAGCCGGAGCAACTTGCTGCATGGATGCTGGGGGTGTAGCAGCAGCAGCGGCGGTGGGATGGGATGTTTTTCCAGACATGACGGAGGCTGATCACTACGCAGCAGATCGGACGCTGCTGGCATAACACACAGAAAACGAAAACATCCATCTATGATTGAAATCTATAACCCTCTGACTAATTACACTTTTCATTATGGCCGAAAATAGTACCAGGATATTACGCATGGCAGCAGGTGATGGATATGTCGGGCTCCCGGGACATATCGTGATGAATGGAAGGCCCAAAACATAGACATACCAAAAACAACACAAAAACAATAATTCATTTTCTCTAATTGATAATAGTCATGATTTCTGTCTCACCAGCGGCTGCATCTCCGCCTGCATCTCTGCTTCCTGCACGGCACTGGGCACCTGGAATCTGTCTTTTTCTTCCATCATGTTGGCAGCGCGCCTCGGTCCTCCTTCCTGTGGAAACTGTGTGTTTGTATCGGGGGGTTTCGACGAGTTATCGCAGAGATTGTGAAACGATCTCAGATGTGTAGAAATCTCTGTAGTTCTCCGGTGGCGAGCCTCATCCCAGCAGGCAGTGTGTCGACGGTGGTGTGACGGTGGCTCCAACACCCATTTCCGGGTAGGGGATTCCATGCTAGGGTCGAGGGACCCAGAAGGGGCCGTTGAAAGAGGACAAAAGTAGTCCCAAGCTAATTGAGTTATGATGACAGCGAGAAGATTTTTAAGTAGCCTACTTTAATACAAGTTCAAGATAGCCTACTTTACTACTCCTCCTAATGTCAGGCAAATATTGTACTTTATTAATTCAATGTAATTAAAGTTAGTGTTCCTATTGAAACAAATATTATATTTAAAAAAAATGTATTTAGTTGTTATTATAATGAGTTGAGTTAAGATAAGACTGGGAAACAAGTTACATTAAAGTGATATCACATCCATGCATTCATAATCATATCCAATACAATAATATACAGTAGCCTACATTATTTACAAATGGACTATTCTGCGTTATGCAGGGTTTTATTCAACAATCAACAACAAAACCTTAAATTATAACAACAGGAATAATGTAAAAGATAATGTTGACGTGATTATTTACCCGCCTTCAAAGGTGAGAATATGTAAACAGGTAAAGAGATACAAATAGCCTATTCTATGAGATTACAAAATGCCTGAAATATCACAAATAGAGAGGCGAAGTCCCTCCCTTTCCGGGGGAGCTCCATCGGACCTTATTTCGTAAAAATTATGTATTGAAGTCAATGGGGAGAGAACGATTATCTTTCGATCCCGTTTGAATTGTGCCACGAATTACACATATGATGTTTATCAATCTAAAAGATAATTTTGCAAGTCAAAAAAATTAAAATAAACACTTTTTTTGTGTGAAACCCCCCATTAACTACATCTCCCGTCTCGCACCACACACCAAGACGGCCGTCACGTTGGAACATTTCACTTCTTTCTTTCAGAATGAGGCGGAAATGATTAAAAGAGGAGAAAATCACTACAAGTCTGGGCACGTTGAGAGCTGTACATACACACAAGGGGAGTTAGTCGGTTCCGTAAGAGCCAGCATGCGGGACTGGGATTCTGGTATTTGTAGTCTTTCTTGTTGCGTATTTTTCATAGTCTTATATTTCAACAGTTTTAAGACAAACTGTGACTTTTTTTACATGGAAATTATTTTTTAAGATTGACAAACATCATGTGTGTAATTCGTGGCAGAATTCAAACGGGATCGAAAGATAATCTTTTTCTCCTCATTGACTTCAATACATAATTTTTCCGAAATAAGGTCCCATGGGTCGGAAGTAGATGGGCGGGACTTCGCCTCCCAAACGGTGTGCCGTGAGGCAAGTCCGGGTGTGCCGTGGGATTTTGTGACAACCATACGTTATTATTGCAATATACAACTACACAAAAATAATAATTTTTTAATTTACTATATCAGTACTTTGTAGGTTTATATGTACGCAATCTGCGCGACTTGCGCGTCCACATCTCCACGTGCAGTGCTGCATAAACATGGCTGAGTCAGCGATAACTCTCGAGGGGTGAAGGTATGCCCATTATTTTGAGTTCGTCCGAAGAATAGACAGGAATGTGGCGGTGAGGTGCAAACTGTGTCCAGGCCAGAAGCTGTTATCCACTGCTGGAAACACCACGTGGTCAAACCTCAACAAGCACCTGCAAAGAACACATGCTAAGGTGAAGCTAACGCACCTATTTGTTGTTTGTTTATATCACGCAGTCTGTTCTTCTTCTCTGTCTTCCGGTTGTTGCCTGTTTTGAATGACAAATACACACTACCGCCGCCTGCTGGTAAGGAAAGTTATTGCCACTCACGCATGTGCAGTTCGTACGTGCTCGGCGAGTAAAGTAACGAGTTACTTTATGTAGATAGTAACGAAGTAGTGTAATATATTACATTTTTTTAGTAACGACCCCATCTCTGGAGTTGGCGTTCTCTACTCTGGTTTACATGAAGAACAACAGGAGGTCACTCACGGCTCTCTGTTGAACAGGACTTGCGAGTGGCCCTCTCCTCAGTGCCACCAAGGATTAAAACATTCTGCTCGCCCCGACAGGCACATGTATCTCACTAATTTGTAAGTCGGCAAAAATATTTACAATAGCACATGTTTCAATGCTGATTGCTGAAATGTTACATTTATAATTTGTAGTTCAGGACCATGGACAATGCAGCTTCCTTGCATTGACAGTTCTCTGTGCTGAATTTCTGCTGAGTTTCCTTTGCCTCATTTCTAATGTTGTGACCTGTCTTGTTTAAATGAGTGTGTTGCTGCTTTGATGAAGCCTAATTTGATAAAGTTTCAAATAAATTTCTGAGATATTTCGTTAATAAATATTTCATGAGTAATATAGTTGTCTTTGTCACATTTTATTTGGCATTAGTAAATAATTATGCACATTTACAAATATTTTACATGATATGAGTGATAACACGTGTAATAAGGGCTATTTTGCACAATAGGTGTGCCTTGAGATTGTTACTTGTCCTTTGGTGTGCCTTGGGCACAAAAAGTTTGGGAACCACTGCTCTATACAACCAAGGTGCAATGTGGCGGTCTTATATATATTTATATATATATATATATATATATAAATATATATACATTTTTATATATATATATATATATATATATATAGTCATACTAGGCTTGTTTGAGACAAGCGAGACCTGCGCAGTTGCGATCAACGTCTTGCTAGTGCGTTGCATGATAGTTAGTCATTTTGTCCGACTTGCTCTGGAGGCTCGCCTACATGAGACGTTGAAATCTCGCGGGACAAAGACGCCCGCAGCCTTGAGAGCGAGGCCCGGCGAGGCGCGGCGAGGCGGCGCAGTTCCTCTCCACGGGCCGCGGAAGCGAAATGCTTGATGGGAAAGGACTAGCTGGTATCTCGAGCTGAGCGCTCATTGGTGGTTTTTACCACGTGCTGGTGATGAAACTCTCCAATTGGCTCGGCAAAAGTTTGTTGTTGTTTTGTGTCAGTTTTACGTCGCCACTTCCATTCACATTTTTCATCATTGTTCCACAATGTTTATCATCATGAAATTAATATCCATATATTTTATACTATACTTGCACTGCTTACCGTTTTCATACTTTATATATCTTAGCATATTCATACACACTGTTCATACTGCTCACAGGCTGATATCTAGTTTATTCACATACCCCTCACTGTTTATTCATCATTCAATTAATTCTATATTTTATTCTGTAGATTGTGTACATTTCTTTTCAATTTACTGCTTGTTGCACTCCTGGTTGGAAGCTAAATTGCATTTCGTTGTCTCAGTACCTGTAATATGTGCAATAACTATAAAGTTGAATCTAATCTTGAGCAGGAACAAATGTATTTACTTAGTACATATCTGACATTAACGATTAAACACATGTGTGCATTCTTTATTGTGTGTGTGTGTGTGTGTGTGTGTGTGTGTGTGTGTGTGTGTGTGTGGCTCCACGGATTGATCCATTTGGACCAATGGGTCCATTTGGGTATGGGCACGTCACTGTCACACAACGAGGCGTTCTGGGGCAGCATAGACAGGTCTTTTCTGTGTTAGAGTTTTACTCGCTACAGGGTGTACTTTGAGGGTTTGTGACTCTGCAGACCGTTCACATGCATAAAAACCTTCATAACACACAAGTGGACGGGTAATAACTGGTACCTTTAAGTAGCTTTAGGACAAGTTTAGTAGCATTATTTTGACACCTACAATTACTAGTTACTTTGCTTATTTAAGTCAGCTTAAACTATTTACGATCAGCTAATAAAATATAAAGCATTGTGCTCCCACAACATATTTTTAGTTAGCTTCATCTCTCAGTAACTACATGTTTTTTGGTTATATTTCTACATCAGTAACACTTAAATCATTCCAACAGGGGATACTTGTTATACTTTCATTATGTTTTTACTGATAACACATTAATAGGACTCTGAATGCAGGATTATTGCTTTTGATAATTATCGTTTTACAATCCAATAATGAATATTTATTTCTAACTCTGAATTGTTCTGCCTGACAAGATATACCAGAGTTAATTTGACACTTCTCTGCAGGTCTTATTAAAAAAAACAACATCATTATAGAATGGATTTTTTTGCAGGACTATTGCATTATTCTGCATTGTCCCTGTAGAAGTTTCCACCCCAGAGTGGAATATATATATTTTAATTGATTATAAAAACAATTAGACATTCCCCTGTGCAGTTAGCGTTAACTATTATTAGATGACAATTTGCTCCTGACAATAGAAGAAACCTTTAAGTCAAACAATCAAATCAAATCAGAAACAGGTTTATTACCAGGTAGGTTTACACGTACGAGGAATTTGACTTGGTGTCGTGGTGCATACATACAAGTAAAACAACAACTAAAAACACAGGTAGAGAACTAGAAAAATTACAAAATATAGTCAAATATGGAATAAAAATCGGTAGTAATAAAAACAAACAAAAAGAAAACAGATATTGTTGTACATTGTGTGCATTCATGTAATGCATAGGCCAAATGACCATTCAGGGGCATAATCAATTCAACTTTCTGAACAAATTAACACAATAACTGGGTAATGATGGCCTGCCGAAAGAACATTCTTGATTGTGACTCATTGAAAGTCACAGACACGTGTGACTGCACAGTGTCCTTACCTGGAAACACCAACAGAGAGCAGCAATAGCACGCTTTGCTGCACAATAATGAGGAAGCGTCTTGGCAGCAAATCAGCCTCTGCTGCAGCCAGCTGGTTCCAACTGGAGGCAGAAGCCACGAGCTGTTCATCCAGCAGGTGGCAGTGTACTTCTACAGGAGAGGAGGGACAGAGGCTGGGCGGGAGTTGAATGACAATGAGGTGAGAGCAGCAGGGTCAAGTAGGTCATCGAGTCTCAGTCTGCTGAATGAAAACAGTTTGAGGTGCGTCCTTCTAGCCGTGCATATGGATTAGAAATGAGTCCAGCAGCAAATCTGGAGGTCAGCTACTTAGGGAAATGTGAGAGTGTGCTGCTACAAGTTAGTGATAACATGTAAGAATTCCAAATGAATTTTCTTGATTGTCATGCATACTGAAGCTTTTCCTAACGTGATTATTCCTCTGTTGACAGAATAAACATTCATACTGACGAAACGAGACAATTATTATGATTTCAATATCAGAGCTGAGCTGTTGTCAAAATCAATTCAAAGACTGAGTGTGTGTGTGCAATTGTGATGAGTTACTGAGTCCTTAAGGAGCCTTTTATTAGGATTGGATTAAGAATGAGTCAGGGATTACAATGTTTTTGTTATTTATTCTTTAAAAAAA